AATCACATATCAGTTCACTTCATCTTCTACATTAAATTTGGAATGCAGAACAGTGATATTTACTATCAGTGTCAATTCAAGCCTTCAACACTTACCAGACGGCAGCAGGAAGTAAGCAAGAATTAGAACAGGAAACAAACAAAGCTGGTTATGAAGCATACCAATCAATGGCCTGTTGCTTATTCTGATCATAAAAGCTCTCGTCTAGCTAACAGGTCTTCAATAATCTTCAAATGAACGTCCGTCTAGCGAAGATTAGTTTAATAGTCAGGTATGGTTGCTGCCATCATCACTGGCCGAAGACGAATACAGTATATCGGAGCCTGGTACCCAAAATTAGCTTTGCATCTTGGATATTATGTAATATTAATTGTATCATCACTCTATAACTCTTGTACCAACAAGGCCTGTAGCACTCCTTGAGATCTTTACTGCAAACCATAGTCTACCAAAATCAATACGAACCCTCCAGTTGAGCTTTGCCGTGTCACCTTCCACAACATTCACTGTATCGTCCGAATGTAGCCAAGTGAATGTTCCAGCGTCTAGAAAACAACCGAATGTGATCTTGATCCGTTGTTTGTTTTTGTTTAGTCATAACGTGCTCCCCCCTAAAAAACATATTTCCTTACCTGAGGAACGGAAAAGCAATGCAGAAACCAAAACCATTGACAACGATTCCATACTAAAAAGCATACTCTTGTCTGAATTTTAAATGTGTATTTGATTACATAATCAAATAAATACACGCTACTCACAAAGTTGAAATAAAAATGTCGTCGTCAGTTGACGGTCTCGCCTTACTTAACATAGTATAATATATTAAGTTGGGCTACCTATGTTAATGCTATGTAGCTCATAGTATATCGTTTTTTCATTCCACACACGATATGGCAGCTTCTACGAGACCTTGGAAATTCGAGCTGTTGAAACCCAAACTTATGAGATCCAAGTAAAGATTAGTAAGTGTCAGCTATGATCGAGAGTGTACGGGATGGGAAGGGAAACGAGACTTGTTTTTCATTCTTCTCAATGAAGCTTTCAAATAAAAACTTTCACATGGTAAAAGGAAATCTAGCTAAGATAAAACTCAACTTTCAATTGATATTTGTCAATTGTTTGCTTTATTGTTTATTAGTATCAATAAAGGATTGAAATCCAAATGGAGTCTACTATATAGCTTCATGGTTATTGTGTCAGCATATTATATTTAATGTATGTGGTTAACAATTATGAATTTATCGCTTTTTTGAAGGTCTTATTTTCTTTTTTTGAGTTTCTACTTATGACATTATGATATATGTGTACGATTTACTTGATCTTATTACATGACTGTCTATCATGATCAATGTGTCTAAAAGAACAAAAGTGAAAAACATGGCTAAAATTGCAAGTGTATCTTTTATAATCGAGGAGCGAGTGTGCTATCAATAATGATACAGATGTCCGGCCCGCATATCATTTACTCTATTAGTAGCATTTTTAAAAGCACAAAGCAATGCCACATCAATACTGTTCTCGTTTGGTCCTTATTCACTTAACATTTGCTCAAGCCATCCAGAGACTGGTACTGTGGAGACACACCCTTGTGTTGAAGGGCCTGGTACTCTCCTGTACGTGTTGGGCTTCCTGTGGATGACATCACTGTACCCTCCGGGGACAGCCGTGTGAAAGGACTCAGTGAATCGTAGTTACCAGTACGAGGTTGGATGGTCTGATAGGTGACTGGTGGTGGATTTGAAACAGCCTCTGTTTGTCCATGTTGATCAGCACCTTCATACTGAGGCATGGGGATATTCGTCTGTGCACCAGGATGTGGTTGACGTGGTCGTGTTTTTGTTGTCACCGCTTCATATTCTGGGATGCCTGCATTACTCGTCGATAATCCTCGCCTTTCTATTGGTTCATATTCTGGCACGTTTGGTTTTTCGTTATCTGTAGCATAAAAACTTGTCTCTTGAAGTGAGATGTCGTTCTTTGTTGGTGAGGAAGAATAATAGTAATGAATGAGTAGACAGAGAAGAAACAAATATATAACGCACGAAGAAATGAAATACAACAAAGATGGAATGAATGAATGAATGAATGAATGAATGAATGA